GCGTGATTCCGGCAGAAGAGGAGCCGGGCTCGTAGCGGCCGGTGCCTCTGCTGGACATGCAGTGCAGCACGGGGAGGCGGGCCGGGGGGAACCCCGCATGGTGTCTAGAAAGAGGTGAGGGACGAGGCCTGGCCCCCGGGCTGGAGTCCTGTTCTTCGGCCTGAGGGGCAGCATACGGCTGAGAGGTCCTTAGGCATCAGCTCCCTGCGCCTGGCTTCGTCCCGCGGTACAGACCTTTGGGCTCGGTCCGGACGCCCGGCCCTGCAAGGTGGGAGAGTCCAGGGCTCGGCCCACAAATACGCTGCAGTTAAACAGCCCAAAGCCTGGACACCCAGCTCAGCTGGCCCGGGCGCCTGAGGCGCTAAAGAGGAACCCCCACCATGAGCTCACCACACGTGTCAGCCCCCCGCCTCCTCGGAGGCCCCACAGGAGCAAGGCGGAGCCTGCATGTGTGAGCAGAGCACTGACCATTCCCAATATTCCCCTTTCTTACAGCAACTGGACCTTCACTCCTGCCCCAAAACCATCGTCTTCATTATCCACTCATTCCTGTCCGCCAAAGTGACCCGGCTCGGGCTGCTGGCCTAGGCGCCTGGGGAGGAGCCCGAGAGAGAAGGCCGAACCTCCGAGATCTATGCATATGGCCAGTCCTGGCCAGCGCCACATGAAAGCCATTCGGACAAGAGGCGCACAGCTGGGTAATAGCCACAGCCCAGGAAAACTTCTCACTATTCAGGACCCTTGGCCCAATCCCCACCACTGCTGGTCTGCCTCCTGCCAGCCCGGGGACGAGTCTCTGCTCCCAGCGTGCTTGCCCCGGGTGTTCTCCACAGCGTCGCTCAAGAACTAACGACATTCCCACCGCGAGAACAGCGCTCGAAACAAGCCTGAGAAATAGCCATGCCGGACACGCAGCCCCCGGGTCCGCCCTCACTCTAGTGCCTTGGGAGATGATATTTTCTGTACGAGAACCAGTTTGTATCAACGTTTTATATTTCTAGAGCTCCGTTGGAAAGGGGGAAGTGGCAACTTTCCCCGTATTTTAACCCTCCTTTGTCATCAAATGAACTGTAGATTAGCTATTTAAACACGCATCTCTTCCTCGGAGACCCATTTTGGAAACGGCTGGCTTGGAGACCTGAGCCAACTTTGTATTCTTTTGACAGATGGGGACTAGGGAGGATAAAGTATATTTGCTGATTTATACGACTCTGTAACCAGTTAGAAGAGCCTTCATTTAACCCCCTTTTTATTCATTAGATTTGGATGGTGGTTTTGCTAACTCCGAGCGCCTTGAAAATTTTACTTTTTGGTTTAATTTTTGGAGGGGGGGGCTGTCAGGTGGGCAGTCAGAACCAATTTGTTTTATGAACGAAAAGTTCATGCATGAAAATCCTTTTTTCCCTCCTTTTCTTTTGCGAAATAAACATCACAAACGATGACAGACACTGTCTGTTTCCTGATTTATGCCGGGTAGTCGCAGTTCTGCATTTCAAGTCACAGATGGCCTGCTGCTTTGATTTAGTTTTGCCAAAGGATCGTGCGAAAGTAACGGTGAGGTTCTGACTGGAGGAGCTTGAAATCGCGGGAGAAAACTGCAATAATGACACTGACTTTTTTCTGTTTGGGGGGTTCAGACTTTGAAATTCTAGCAACGTTCATCAAAATTGCAATCATTTCAGCTAGCTGCAGATCGGAGCTCAGAGCGATTTCACAGGGGGCGTTGTAAGCAGTACTGGTGCTACTTAGGATTTGGGAAGACCCCTCAGTTGTTCCGCTTGTATTGCAGACACTGCTCTGCTACATCTTCTTTCTCTCAGGCTTTGCCCCACGGAGCGTGCCCAGACCTTTTTGGATTTAATAGCTGTAGCTCCGCTATGGTGTGCTGACTTCTCGTCCAGCCTGCCGAGCCACGCAGCTTTAGATGTGTCCAGCCTTGGAGGAGAGACCCCAGGAGAGCACCCAGGTGATATTAGTGGCTCCCATAGCCGGTGGGGTGCGCTGGAGGGACTGTCCGTACCCTAGGACAAGAGAAGAGATTCATCTGCCCAAATGGGGAAGCGCGTCTTTGTGCACCAGCCCGGTGAGGAGGGCTGTCGGCGAGCTTCAGAGGGGGCAGGTGACAAGCCCACAGGGAAGCCCCAAAAGGCGATGTTAGCAGAGGGCTAGCTGAGGGGTGGGGTGGGGAGGGAACATGGAAAATTACACCAGGGTAACAGGAGCAACAAGAGAGAAATCCGGGGAGGAAAGTGTTCGCCATCTTAGACGTCTCTCACAAAGGAAAGGCATGTAGGGCAGAAACAGGAAGAACTGGGCGTATTAAGCATGTAAACTAAACCTTGACTTAATCGGCCTCCCAGAGACTTGGTGGGAGAAGTCTCCTTACGGGAAGATTTCTATAGAGCAGCGCTGGGCAATAAAAACCCTGGCAGCCCGCCCTGGCGATATTTACCTGCGCCTCTGCAGTACCGGACGATCGCAGCGCCCGTTGGCCACGGATTGCTGTTCGTGGCGGGAAGTGGTGCGGACCGGGGTGGCGTCTAGCTCCAGTGAAGGGGCAGATTTCCGCCGGCAGGCGGCCTTTCACAGCAGAGGAAGGCGGTTTCTGAGGCAACAAGTGATGCCACAAAAAAGATATTTTGGCCTTGGAAAGGGTTCAGAAAAAGGCAACTACAATGATGAGGGGTTTGGAACGGGTCCCATATGAAGAGAGGCTAAAGCGACTGGGACTGTTCAGTTTAGAAAAGAGGAGACTGAGGGGGGATATGATAGAGGTCTATAAAATCATGAGTGGTGTGGAGAGGGCCGATAAAGAAAAGTTATTGATTAGTTCCCATAATAGAAGAACTAGAGGACACCAAATGAAATGAATGGGTAGCAGGTTTAAAACTATTAACAGAAAGTTCTTCTTCACACAGCGTGTAGTCAACCTGTGGAACTCCTTGCCAGAGGAGGCTGTGAAGGCTAGGACTATAATAGAGTTTAAAGAGAAGCTGGATAATTTCCTGGAGGTTAGGTCCATAAAAGGCTATTAGCCAGGGGATAAAATGGTGTCCCTGGCCTCTGTTTGTCAGAGGCTGGAGAGGGATGGCAGGAGACAAATCGCTTGATCATTGTCTTCGGTCCACCCCCTCTGGGGCACCTGGTGCTGGCCACTGTCGGCAGACAGGATACTGGGCTAGACGGACCTTTGGCCATTCTTATGTTCTTATGTGTGCTCCTTGACTTTGACTGTGTCTTGTCTGGAGGGCCGAGGCGCAGACCCCAGCCGAGCGAGCTCAGCCACATGCAGGAGACCAGCAGTGGGGCGAAGCTGGAACGTTCCCTCCTGACTCAGCCTGGGCTTTCCAGGAGCTGCCGGGGTTTGCTCCTCTCTCACGGCAGAGAAAGGGCCCCAGGGGCCTGGCTGGCCCCCAACAAGCCCAGCACGACGCTGCCAGGCTTGAGTGCTGAGCTCTGCCTTCGGACGGCGCCCACCTTGGCTGTCAAACGCCAGCAGCTTTAGGCTTGGCTCAAGCCGCCCTGTTGCCAGACGCAGGGAACTCCTGGCCCAGCCGGGTGCCCCAGCTCTGGGGTTCAGTCCACACAGCCGGGGTGGCTGGCAGGAGCTGAGCAGAAAGTGCCACGTCTCCACCACGTGGCCTCCCCCACCAGCTGGGGGGGACACTGGAGCAGGGACGCTCTGGCAAGGGTTCTTGCCTCTTCCCTCCTTGCGCGGTGCAGAAGGATGAGCTGAAAGGCTCCCTCAAGGGCCAATAGAGGGGAGAACCCCCCCCCCAGCTCCGACAGGGGTTGTGCTCTGGGCATATCTCCTGTGGAGGCCCTTAATGTCGGACTGAGCAGCCTTTGGAGGCAATGTTGTCTAGTGGTCAGAGCCAGGCAGCTGGACTCAGAACATAGGGGCCTGGCCAGTGGCTTCCTGGGGGAGCATGGGCCAGCCGTGCTGCGCCGGGCATACGTCAGCTCAGCGTCCAACGCGCGTGTGAGACCATCACGACCCCCGTGTGCGTCGGGGGCAGGCGGCGCCCCCCCCCCCCCCCCGTGGAATGTGCAGCCAACGTGGCTCTCCGCTCCGTAAGGGCTGGGCTTGACTAGACCTTCCCGCGGGCACTGGCCCCGCTCAGCTAGGCCGGACCTCTGCTATCTGGGCGCACGGGGGGGTCGTCATGAAAACCAGTGGAGGGCAATTGGCACTCAGCACGCAGCGCCCGGAGATCTAGTCCCTCCAGGCAAGGGAAGGGTCCCAGACCGAAGAACGGGTCCGGTGGAGAGCCAGGCCTGGCCTTGGTAACAGTGCCGTCTGGCAGGGGCCTGTGCTCCTGTGGGGGAGCTGGCGAGGGTGCCCCAACACGGGGTGGGTGATGGTAAAGAGAAGAGGAGGGTGGCATTTTCTTCAGTCCACGAGGGAGCGACTACTCGCCATGTGACAGC